GTGTTCATACACTGCAGTTAACTTCTGAAGCATTGAGCTATCAGGATTCCCATACTTTTTATGCACAGAATTTACTTTGTGTTATCAGAATCACATTTCCAGTTTTCAGATCTCTTCCCCCCTCCCTCACACATGCAGTACATTATTATGTGACAAAGCACTTCATCTTCTATTTGACTAACATCACGGTTCTAATTACCTCAAGAGTTAGATTTATGCTAATCTTGGAGCTTCTGCTTTAGCTCTCATCTAGAAACAAAATATTCTGAGAACCTATTCCAGAAATAAGTTTTTTATGCATAGGAAAATAAAGCATTTCATATTTAAGCATGTCTGAAAATCCAAGAGGTGTTCTGACCAAACACTTCCTGAATCCCACTTCCTACTTTAAAATCAAAGTGAAATTCTAAAATAGACAATTTATAAATTCTTATCTGGAATTGTATTCCTCACATGGAAATTCATGGTCCCCAGTGTTCTGAATGGATAAGGATAGCAAAGAAACTGACTTCCCACATTAGCTGACAATAGATGAAGGTAGCTTAAAAATTAGGACACATTTAGATTATTTTAATTCTTTATAAGAATGCAGTTGTGCTACAAAGATGAGTAATTATAATGGTAAAATTATATGGCAGAAAGTACTGGCATTTTAAAAAGGTGTCAGTAAAACATGGTAAAATGTGCCATGTAAAAAGACTGTGCTAAAAGCAGCAGTTCTACAAGATTTCAAAAATACTTACCAATAAAGGAGAGAATTGAAATTTGAATCTTAATTTCCCCTCCTGCCATGATTCAGCAAATATTTCTGTGAAATTAAGTCTATTGAATACCAAATTGAGCAATTCTAGTTTTTCCTTCTTTACACAGAGAAAAGAAATCAAGCCTTACCCCTCCACCCCCATCTGAGAGCAAAATATCCCCCTTTCAAAGTGTACATAAAACCTCATGGCAGTTTTGGGCAAGCTATTATTCAGATACAATGATCAAGAAGCTACTTTTGATAAAAGAACAAAACACCAGACCAACATTGAGAATACCCTAGTAGGCATCACAGAAATCATGCACTGAAACAATATGCTGTTAACTGCCAAATTTGGGCTGTTTATACCTGTTCTGATCCTGAAAATCCATTTACACTAATATTAACTAGATCTTTGTGTATATGTATGTGTCTACATGTATGTATGGGTATAATTTTCATGCAACGATCTTAAAGCTTTGGAGAGAGTGGTTTTAATTTAATTTCAAGGTTTGTCCATAATAGCAGTATTGACATGCATCAACTCTGCTAATGGGCAGTAGAATGAAAAAGACCATGGCACAAATTTTTAAACAATTTGAGGTTTAATTACATAATGCACCTGTAGATGTTCTAGCATAAACACAATTTTAAAAATCTACATCCTATTTTAGGGTATTTTCCCACCTCCCATCCCTTAAAAGCTGTACAATTATAAAAAAATGTGACTCTCAAGCAAAATAAACTTTTTTGTTTGTTTGTTTTTTGCAACATACAAAATAAGTTAAACGATTCAGAAGGTCTTGAGCCATTAAGTTCCCCAATGACTGTGTTCTGGTTGTCCATAAACATGACATGCAGGTTCCTGGTATCTGACCAGAACTCAATAAATACAGATCAAACAAAACTTCAAAACACTTAAATTAGATTCCTTTAGAAGCTGATGAAAGTCAAGAAAATAAAAAGTCAGGATTAACAATTCCATTCTTAACTTACATCATCCAGTGGCAAAAAGAAGGCAGGTTATTCAGTCCTTAGCATTTTCTCTAGCTTGTACCAGTTTGGCAAAAAATACAAATGTAGTTCCTTTTAAAAATGTTTCATTCCAAATGCCTAAGGTGTTTAATAAATTCTTACTCATTTAATAATTTGTTGTACCCTCTCTCATATAACTTATGTAAAGGATAGACTCATCTTAAAAGTTATTATAATAAAAATAGCATTTTCAATAATTGAAACCACTGTACTGTGCCAGAATTGGGTTTACAGTATTTCCCAGAGCAAAGTGGTATAAATATGAAATAAAATAAACAAACAAACAAAAAAACCCAAGAGCTTACATGACCAAGATGAGGAAAAAAGTTCACTCTTTTAGGGGATCCTATTTTAATCAACTTCTGAGAGGGTTTGTATGTTTGAAATAAATGTTGGGTTTACAATCTAAAGTAGCTATATATGAAGCCTTCTACATTTTGGCTTATGACTTACTTGGAAATGACTCTATCTTCAATATGTTACACAGTTACTTAGCAATTCTTGGCACTTAAAATGTTAAATAATTTTAAGTTGAAGTGAAATATTTTGAAAACAAATCATTTAAGTGAACACAAAACAACCCACTTTAAATACATTGATAACAAAAGACTTTATCTTTTATAGAATTGGTATAGAAACAACTAAAAAAGAAAAAAAATTCAGCAGTTAGCTTGCCACTTCCAAGGTAGGTTTACAGGTACACACTGAGAATAGGAAGGGATTTTTTTCAAAGAGAGTTTAATAATGGATTATATTAAGCAGATGAGGACTAGGTAGGTTACAGCAGATATGCAGTGTTGGCATTCTCTGCTTCTTGGGGACCCAGGAATATATTTTGAGACTGTCAAATCAATAAGAGAAACTATTTTTCTCTAGACTATCTGTAATTAAATGATGTTCATAATTTGATATCAGTTGCAATGCCATTATTTGCCTTATTTCTCTTTGTAAGTCAATGATGGATACATTAATACTTACCCAAAGCATTTGTGTGTATATAGAACATGTATGTATGTGACATATATATACACATTCCATTTGAAAAAATATCTGGGTCTGAATACTGTTTTCTAAACCTGTAAAACAACATCTTGAATTATGGTCTTGCTCCACTGTGTTGTAAAGAATGGAGTTCACAGTTTTTTCTGAGCATTGAACTTAGAGATTCATTAGATTCTTTACGTTTATATGGTAGAACAAAATAGTTCTACCACAGAGGTGAATGGTCAGCATCCTTTATGACCACAAATAGAAGCTATCCAAGCATTCTTCGTGACAAAGGAAATTCCATCAGCCCCACTTAAAAATAACATACAATTCTTATCATTTTGACTCTCAATTTAAACAAGTAAACGTCCACATTTTTCTTAATGTATATTACAGAATGGGCAGGGCACCGTGGCGCATGCCTGTAATCCCAGCGGCTTGGGAGGCTGAGGCAGGAGGATCAAGAGTTCAAAGCCAGCCTCAGCAAAAGCAAAGCACTAAGCAATTCAATGAGATCCTGTCTCTAAATAAAATACAAAATAGCCTGGGAATGTGGCTCAGTGTTCGAGTGCCTCTTGAGTTCAATTCCTGGTACCCCCCCCACCAAAAAAATGTATATGATAAAATGGGCTATCCTCCAAACAGTGAAATCTGGATATGTGTAATAGTCTTTAAAATTAATGTGTTTAAAAAATGTTTTTTTCAACAACTTCATTACCATTTCAACTTTTTGGTTTTGTGGCAGATCACTTTTTTTAAAAGGAGATTACCAATAACTTGAATTTGTTCTCAATGAAACTCCTCTGAATCTGCAACCTTGAGCAAATGAAAATGGGTATCAAGGAAATCCAGCCTTATCTTGTATTCTCTTTAAAATATCTGCCATCATTTTCCAGTAATGTGCCAACAATGGACATTGTTTTTATACCAAACACTATTTTATCAGCATAAATGTTGCAAAACCAGACTTTGTCCTCTTCATACAATATTCAACTCAAAGTTTCTACACTATGAAAATTTGCATAAATTGTAGTAAACCTTCTGAATGCGAAACTAGTCTTAATACATTTGTCATAGACCAGAGTTTGATAATGGGAGCCCAAGTTGTATTTCAAAAAAATTGGGAGCTTAAATTATTAAAGGGCTTATGATACAGCAGCTATTGTGAATATAATCCATGGATAGCTCTTTAAGAATGATCCTACATAGTCTATACTATAAAAATTACTGCTTTCCTTTATTTTCTCCAGTTACAAATGACTATATTGTGTTTTTTACAAAACACTTTTTCCTAGAATTTTTAAGAAACTTCTTCACAATATCTTTATTGTAAGTATTTCTGAGGGGCTGAATCTAAACATGAAGCAAGGCTGGGAACTTACAGCTTAGTGGTGGAGCACAAATGTCTACCATGCTTGAGGCCCCGAGTTTAATCCTCAGTACTAAAAAAACAAAAAAACAAAACCCAAAGCCAAGCAGCAGAACTGTTCAAAATTTAATCATCTATAATCAGTCTGCAGAGTAATAATTTGTGTTTATTAGCTGCCTGGATTATATTCTTGGTAGATGAGCTATAATTAATCAAAATATAAGATTAGAAGGGAGACACTCAGTTATCAAGTTGACACACAGTTATTCAAGTTTGATAAATATCAGGCAGCACAAGTGGTTTCATAACCTATGTCAGTGGGACATTTGCTAAGTGGAATACTCAGTCTTTAGTATAAAAATTACCTTGGGCTTTATATAATGAAAGGGTAAAAAAAACTCCTTATTTCACAATAGACATCCTGTTAAATTATCTACCCATTAATACTACTGATCAGCTGTGAGTAACTGAGGAATAGAACTAATAGGTAGAAGGAGGAGCAGTTGTGTCCAGAGGTAGAGATAGGGCACAAGGGAGAGTTTCTATATCATAGTGGCTTTACCTGGCTGCAGGACTAAAACAGTAGGTGACTGAGTGGCAGAAAAGGCCACCTATATATATGTCAAGCCACTTACCTTGCACCACTAGTAGGAATCTTCCTGCCTGCCTGTTTTAAAAAGTTAAAAAGATTAAACTTGTTAGCTAACTTTCAAATAAATAAAGCAAACCTAGCTAGAAAGAAGGTTTTGCAAGTGAGTGTGGCTTCATTCTAGCCCTGCTTTACTGCCTGGGAATGTAAGCCCTTCCCTCCCTTCCAGTGGAACAAGTGTCTCAAAATAAAATCACAATTTACTTGGAACCACATGCTATTGTTGCATCCTATTTTTAGGCTGCTTTCATTATTTTATTTTTTATATGGTTACATATACATTACTAGAATCAAGGCAAAAATATTAATGGGCAGCTACTACAGAACTAAGGTGAAACAAAAACTCAACTGAAAAGCAACAGCTATAAACTTTCAAGGCCAAAAGATAAGATTTAAGGGTAACACCTGTTGTGGGAGGAAAAGTAGAAGTACAAAGTTTCTAGAGAGGTATTTGTAATGCAAGTCTATGCCAGCTTTTAGTAATTAAAAAAAAAAAAAAAAGAAGAAGTGCTTTACTATACACTGACTAGCACATATAGTGCATAACTTGGAAAGAAAACTGAAGTTCCGTGGGCCAGCAGCAGATATGATGTGTCCATTGCCGGCAACAGACACAACACTGGAACAGAAAAACCCAAATCCCAGGGCAAAAGTACTCACAGAAGTACTGATTGAAGGTTTCAGAATGTGATAGCAAAGTTTAATCACAAATGCTACATTCTGTACAATGTTAGGGCTCTGCCTGAAAATTTACAGCTGTAACAGAGACTAAGATAAAATTCATATTTTAGTGTCAATTATGTTATTTAGTTAAACACTGCCTTTTCTTGAAACAAAGGGCTTGTCTTTCTTTAGAAAGTGTTGAGATGTTTAAAATGGATATCATGCCTATTAGGTATATCGGCGGTTCTCAATCAACTCTATGTTGGCCGTGTGACTATTAATGAATTTTAATAGAAGTCTAATGGCCAAAGGCCAACTACATTCAAACCTGCTAATATATCCAGGCAGATAGGAAATCCAACACACACACAGGTAGATGCACATACATACACACACACATACACACACTCACACATACACACACCAAAACTCAAAAACCTCCCAAAGGAACTGCTTTGTTTGTAGACTTCAATTTGAAGTAGATACTAAGGGCAAGAATAGACCAGTTAAAATTCACCTGAAAATCCTTTCCCACTCTTCAAATGTGCTAAAATACCATTGTCAGCTTAGCATCTCTTCACATGTGTTACATATAGATATATTTTTTTTCAAAATGATGTTTCAGATATTTAAAACATCAAGTGGCCAGAGGGCAGGAGTTATACTATTGGCAAAGTTTATAGTCCAGCTGGGTCTTAGGAAAGACCACATTTATTTTACTAAATCTCCTTGAGACAGAGGCCACCTTGTTACCAATGGATAAAGCTATTTTTAAAAAAATCTGTTGCTAGCACAATCTGGTTGTCAAAGCTTCATTATACATTTTACTGTGCAAATGCTTTTCAGATGAGTTTTCTTTTTTAAACAAGAAACTCCGCTTTAACAGAAACTTAGGGTAATTTTTTTTTTTTAAATGATGGTACTTTCATGGTCTCTTCTTTATTTAAAGTGTGGTAACTCCAATAGTAAACAAGTTGATTTTACGAAGGCTATTACTAAATGATTCATGTATGACATTATCTATATTTCTCAAACTGCAACAGTACAGAGTTGAACTTTTAAAAGGTCTGTTAATCATCATCTATGCCATGTATGTTTAAATATAATATATATTTAATATGAAAAGCTAAAGCACAAGTGCTTTCTCCCACCCCTAAATTCTGTTTTGGGCCCTTATAGATTTGGAATGCATTCTTATCCACCCTTTTCACAAAGTTAGGAGAGCTCAGGAAATATAAAGGCAAAAATATACAAATCTTTGTTGTTATTATAATAAGATTTTTTCCATGAATGAAATTACCAAGGACCATGAACTTGGAAAAAGAAAATAAAAAGAAATTTACAGCAATTATTTATCTTCAAAGTTCAAATCTGGTCACTTCACAGAAAGACTTCAGGGTATGATGAAATTTTTTTCTTCTAGAAAGTCAATCTGTAGTGGAGTTTTCTAGGAAAAATTAAACAGCTTTTAATAACTGGCCCGCTGGTGTGAGAGCTACCGTGGAATAAATTAGCACAAAAATGGAAAAAAAAAAGTCTTATAACTGTTCACTGTTACAGACATAATCAACAAGGTCAGTCACTCTCAAAAGCTCATCTTCTTCCTCCTCTGGTGCCCCTGCCTCTTGCCCACCACTCGTCCCATTGGGGGCTAGGCTTGCACTGGCTGTGCTGCTGTCCTTGGGGGTCTGAGGTTTCTCAGCTGGCTTGCCAATCAAGTTCTCAATGGCTTTGCCAGGACTCTGTCCATTGGTGGAAGGTAAGTCCACTAAACTATAGTCCAATGGGCTCCCCACTTTGCCTACATTTTCAAAGTCCTCTTCCTCATCGCTTTCTATCCGGTAGGGCTTCTTGGTGCTCTCCTGCTCTGAGGGCAGGACCCTGGGCTGACCATCATGGGCACGCTGATCTGAATCTCCATGAGTGTTGTCACAGCTCTCCTCGTCTGTCTCAATCCGATGTAGTCGTTTTCGGGATGGTTTGCCTTCCTCTTCCTCCTCCTCATCTGCTTCTGAATACTCATCTGTGCTTCGGCCTCGCTTTCGAACTGACCGCTTTGATTCTTTAGCTAGCTCATCATCTTCCGAGTTCTTGGACATATAGCTCTCTAGAATAAATAGCACATTCAAGCTATTGGCATAGTTTAACCATAAACAGATTTAAGTACTTCTTTCCTCCCTGTGTCCTGATTTCAGACTTGCTCATATATAAATATTTCCCTTCAACAAATGGTCTGATTTTTCTCTCAGTCCTATAACAATGCCCAATGAGATTCATAATGAACTTTATGGACAAATTTTTAGGAAAGAACAGATTTCCTGGGGAAGAAATCTAATAATCCTTGAATCTAACCTATCCTATGAAGGTAAGATGACAACAAACTAGGAAACCCCTTTCTACTAGTCCTAAAATTAGGGGATCATATAAATATACTGGTAAGGAAAGATTAAAATTGGGCCCCCAACTCTATATCTGCAATACTATGTCAGCTCTCATGTTATTAAGTGCTCTTGGTAATCTCTAAATCTCTTCTTTGCCTATAATTATATCATAAGTAATCTCACCTAGTTTCATGGCTTTGCATATACCATTTATATGTTGATAACTCTTACTTGTTTTAGGCAGTCACTAAATTCCAGACTCATGTATCAAATGCCTCCAACATCTATCCTTGGATATCTAAACAAGGCATCTCAAACCTGATGTGCACAAAATTTGAGTTCCTAAACTTCTTGTTCTGTGGTCTCATTATAGTTTTTGGTAATTCTGTTCTTTAAATTGCTTAGTCATGCTTAATCTCTCTCTCTCTCTTATCCTCCCATTGGTAAATTCTTTGGATCTACTTTCAAACATAGTCATAACTTTATAACTTTTCACCCCTTTACTGCTATTGTCTTAGTCCTATCCATCATCATATTTCACTTGCATTGTTTCAACTATCTCCTAACTGGTTTCCTAACTTTTGCCCTTGCTTCTTCAATTTTTCATTACACAGCTACCATAGTAAATTAAAACCTAAGCCAGAACATATTATTCCTTTGCTTGGAATTCTCCAATTGCCTCTCATCTCAAATAAAAGCCAGTCTGTACAGTGTGGAGTACTCCATGCTAACCAACATGGTAGAAAATAATCACAAGAAGTTACATTAAATTTAAATTAATTAAAATTAAGTAAAAATTCAGGTCCAAGGTCACACTAGCCACATTTCAAGTGCTCAATAGCCACATGGGACTAGTATTGTCCGTACTTTGGTTTGACACTATTCTGCTGTTTGGGACACAGGAAGATATTTTAGAATGAAGTACATGAATAATGGACAGAATAAATTACAAAGCATATCACAGTTTTCTGCAACTATATAGTTTTGATGAAGAATTTAATCATTACAATGGAATTCTTAAAAATTAGCATCTTAGTGTCATTTACTTAAACTACAATTGGTGACCAGGAACAAAATATGTAATTTATCTTAAATCTACTACTGATTATATAAGTTCATATAACTACAATCCTGAGTTCACTTTATAATGTGTATTTCTGCCTTGTACATACTTATGTAAGTAGGAGATCTATTTCTTACCTTCACTCTCTGAGCTGGAAAGTCTGCGCTTATGAACACGCCTTATTTCTTTGCCACGTCTTAAACTCTTTTGGGAACCATCACTTTCTGAATCTTCTTTGTAGTTAATTTGTCTTTTCTGGTTCCTCCTTGACCGCCTTCGCCGAGTTTCTACAAAATCATCACTAAAATCATCGCTAAAGTCACTTTCTATTAAAAAAAGGAACAAAAACGAAGTCATGTATAAAACTGAAATCTATTAAATAGAAATATAACTAGATTAGGCTATAAAAATTAAAGATACTAAACAGAGTTTAGTTATAAAAATTCTTAGGTTAAAAACTTTCATAAGTCTTATTTTCTTTTTAATAAAATGAGTCACAGGGCTGGGGATGTGGCTCAAGTGGTAATGCACCCGTCTGGCATGCGTGCGGCCCGGGTTCGATTCTCAGCACCATATACCAACAAAGATGTTGTGTCCGCTGAGAACTAAAAAATAAAATATTAAAAATTCTCTCTCTCTCTCTCTCTCTCTCTCTCTCTCACTCTCTCTTTAAAAAATAAAATAAATAAAAAAAATAAAATGAGTCACTCTGGGAGAGGTTTTTAATGGCAAGTCTTAAAAACATATCTTATTCTCAAGAAAATATTTAAAGGAAGAGAAAATGGGCACAGTGGCATACACATGTAATTCAAGGGACTCAGGAGACTGAGACAAGAAGACTGCTATCAAGGCCAGCATCAGCAACTTAGTAAGGGCCCTAAGCAACTTAGTGAGACCCTGCCTCAAAATACAAAATAAAAAGGACTTTGGATGTGGCTCAATGGTTAAGCACCCCTGGGTTCAGTCCGAGTACCACCGCCACCCCCCAAAAAGAACGCACATACACAGCAAGCATAGTAGTAGCACATGCCTGTTACCTCAGGGACATGGGAGGCTAAGGCAGGAGGATTAAAAGTTCAAGGCCAACCGTAGCAACTTAGTGACATTCTATCTCAAAATAAAAAAATAGAAAGGTCTAGAGATGTGGCTCAGTTGTGGAGAGGACCTAGGTTTAATCCCCAGTACTACAAGGGTGGGGGGGACAAAGAAAAAGAAAAGGGCTGGGACGTAGCTCAGTGATATAGGGCTTCTCTAGCATGTGCCCTCAGTCTGATCCCCAACAATGCAAAAAGAAAAGAAATGTATTCAATGTATTTTTTTATATTCCTTATTTTATTCAACCTAGAACAACCTGGTCGAGTACACAAGCTGCCACAACTGCTTTATGTGAACAGTCTACAGAATATTCTTCCTGATAATCTGCAGTTCCTGTCTTTGGCTACCCTCATAATAATATAACCCCCTAATCAAAGAAACTTCATAAGTCTATTCCAAAGAATTATACAATTGGAGTTACATTTTTAATTTTTCTCCATGTGGAATGAAATCCTGGTAAATACAGTACATAGAGCTGTTTATACTCTCAAAGCATTGCCAATACAATTGTTCTTGTCATTTCTGATCAATAAAACAGAGTGAGTATATGGCTTTCTGTCAGAGGTGCTTTCAGTAGTGCTTACAAATTCTACTGAGTTATTACATTCAATTTTACTGTTCTCTAATGGATTGCCAACATTTCAAAATAGCTACCCAATAGTTAGAAGTGATTTTCACTGGCCAAATCTGGGAAAACTGAACTTAAATACTGATAGTAATGTACTAAATCTACTCATTAAAATAAGAATTCAAAAATACACACTGATATAAATAAGGAAATATATAAACAAGGGAAAGTTCTTCCTCATGAACAATGACTAATAGATATAAAAGGAATAACAGTGCTGGAGAATCCTCAAAGGACTAAGACTAGCAGGTGAAACATTTGAAGTATATTTACACAGCATCAAAGTATCTTGCTACTAATTACTTATTAATTTTAAGGAAAAATAACATAAAGAAGCATGGGAGGCTAATACTTTGTGAGTTCCTGCCAAAAATGCATAACCTAAATCTGATCATAAGGAAACAAGAAAAACCAAACTGGGAGACATCTTATAAAATTACTAGTAGATATTCTTTTTAAATATCATGGTCAGAAAAGACAGATTTTGATGGATACTCCTGATTAAAGGAAACTAAAAAGACAAGAATAAATGGAACGTAAAGTCCAAGATCAAATTCTGGACAACAAAAAATCTATATACATAGAACAATATGGGATGCTAGATTAAGATTTGAATTAGTAACGTTAAAACTTCTAATTCTGATAACTGTGGGTATGTAAGAAAATGTCCTTGTTTTTCAGAAATAATCACTGATGAAGCATAATTTTGCCACTTAGGAGGTTTAGAAAAGATAAATAAATAAAACAAAATATACAAAGGATGGCCAGACCAAGGAAACAATATTCATGTCTGAGATACATCCCCTATAAGATGACAGCTACCTGTTTACCAATTCTATAAAGCATACCCCCTACCTTTCCTTTCAGCTGTTTTGCCTCTATTAATTCGTTAATAAATATAAGCATAATGTATAAAAACATAAGTCTCTGCTAAGTTGGAAAAACTACAGAATCACTGATTGTGGTATACATATTGGAGATAAATGGAATTCTCTCTTAAACAATTGAGTATCTGACAAAAATGTTCAACTTTTTGAGAATGATCCCAAGAAACACTATAAGGATAAAGGTTAGTCAATGGAAACAATGTGGCACCAAAAGGATTCATCACAATCCTAAATGAATTTAGTATGAAGTCAATACATAAATTTTCATATATTTTCTCAGATATGCTCTATGTGAAACACATAGTTACTAATCATAAGAAAAGAGCACAAGCTGGGCATGGTGGAGCACATCTGTAATCCCAGCAGCTGGGAGGCTGAAGCAGGAAGATTGTGAGTTCAAAGCCAGCCTTACCAACAGTGAGACACTAAGCAACTCAGTGAGACCCTGTCTCTAAATAAAATAAACAGGCTCAGTGGTCAAGTGCCCTCGAGTACCCCAAAATTCAAAAAATTAAAAAAGAAGGGGCTGGGGATGTGGCTCAAGCGGTAGCGCGCTTGCCTGGCATGCATGCGCCCCGGGTTCGATCCTCAGCACCACATACAAACAAAGATGTTGTGCCCGCCGAAAACTAAAAAATAAATATTAAAAAAAAAAATTGAAAAAATAAAAGGGCAAAGTTTTATCAGAAAGCTTAATTACAATTGTATAGAATTTTAAGAGCCCTTTACTCCTGAAGTCAAACAAACGTAGTAAGTTAGTATGATATGAATACAATCTTTACCAGAGTCTCTACTATTATCTTCAGACTCCTCCTCTTCGTCGTCATCAGAGTACTTTTTCTTTGGGGTCTTTCTTCGCAAACGCCTACTTTGCCTCATTGGTCGGGAAGGGTGTCGCCTCAATCTACGACTGCAGAAATCAGTGTCGCTGTCATCATTAGATGGTGGATCTTCTTCACTTTCATCTGGGTTTTCATCAGATACAACAAATTCATCTTGAGATCTGTCCAGGAAAGCCCAAATAAATTATGATAAAACACTAAGAACTGAGAACACATTTTTGAGTTCAAATTTTGGTGGGTCCATTGAAACATTAAGTAACATTTATGCAATATATCTGGATAATTTTATCAGTTTCTCGGGAAAACAAAATGTCATCTGTTCTCCTTTTAGGAGGGACTGAGATGATAAAGTGATGCTGATTTTTGTATATAAAATTACATTGGCCTCATGGATGTCCTCCGTGTACCTTTAAATTTGGCACATCAAAAGGGAACTCATGGGGTTGGGGTTGTAGCTCAATGATACAGCACTTGCCCAGCACATGTGAGGCACTAAGTTTGATCCTCAACACCACATAAAAAATAAATAAATGAAATTTTAACAGTCCATCTACAACTAAAAAAAAAGAAAAAAGTGAACTAATTATTTTCCAATCTACTCAGCTTCTGTCTCCCCAATAATCAAAACAAATACCTGATATTAATCCTAATTTTTCCCTTTTAATTTCTCACATCTAAAACATTCAGTGGTTTTTCATCATTTTCAGGACAAAGTCGAAACTTTCATGCATACCAAACAAAACACCCTTCATCTAGTTATTTTTAATTTTCTAAACACATCTCCAATAGGGCACTCTCTATTTTATCCTTGTATTCTTCCTATCCTGGGACACTAGATATTTCTCAGATATTCCATGATATTTTATGGCTTGCTGCCTGCAACACATGACTTCTTGGAATGCCTTCTTTTCTTATCCTGCTTCTAATGTCAAACTTGTTGATCTATCCAAATATTCTGTAAATTTGAGATCAAACTGTACTTTTACTGGGAGGTTTTCTCTGATGTTTTTGGGTTAATCCAACTGTCCTCTTTTCACTAATCTATATTTTCCTTATATTTTAGTAGCAGTCATGCAGAATGACTTTTTTGTGTGGGGGCTTTATATGTTTATTGTCTCCATTAACAATCTAAAAGGAGAAACTGCAGTATAGTTTTAATACCTATTCTGCAGAAGCATTCCCAGATTTTCCATACTGGATTACTTGTCCCAACCCCAACCTCTATGTCAAAAGAGGATATTTACTGATTATTTATTTCTCACATTTGACTTGATGACTTCCTCATGGACTTGGTAGGAGAAGGTAGCACAGTGGAACCTCAACAAATCTAAGTTCAATTACAGTTAATCAAATATAATTTTGAATATTAAACAAATAACCATAAATCTACTATCTATATCTATCTATCTATCTATCTATCTATCTATCTATCTATCTATCTATCTATTTAGTTGTAGATGGACACAGTGACACGATACCTTTATTTTATTTATTTTTATGTGGTGCAGAGGATCAAACCTAGTGCCTCATATGTGCTAGGAGAGCGTTCTACCCCTGACCACAACCCCAGCCCCATAAACCTAACTTTTAATTTTAATCTAATAAAAACCAAAATTCACGTTCTTCAATCTTCTCTAAATACCCTGAAAACAGAGATAATCTATGTTTGTGAAGAACAAAATCCCCATCACAATGTGGCCAAGTCTCACAGCTGGCTAGTCCTTTTTAAGCCAGTCAGAATGATGGGGTCTACGGCAGGCCACTTACCCATCACTGATCTTGAATTCATCTTCACTCTCTTCTTCATCCAGGTTGCTATCACTGTCCAGATCATTTAGTCGCCGGCGTTTCTTTCGTCGAGCAGCAGCTGCCCTCTGGGGTCGTTTATTTTCCTTTCTTTCTTCATCCAAAATAGTAGAGATGTCTTTCCCGCGGTGACCTGTGATGGTGGAGATATCTTTTCCTCGGCCAACTCCTAAAGGGGAAGGATAACTATATGTTTATTAAACCTTCCCCTTAATTTGCAGACTGTCCTTACTGTGTCTAACAGCTCTTCATTGGATTTCTGTCTTCTTATAAATGTGCAGATTTCTGCCAACTTCTACTGACAGAGCTTTTATCAGGATAGATTTAGTATTCATCCTACTGATCAAAAGTCCACAATGTAGAGAACCTCTTATTTATAATTCATGTACTGTGAAACTCACCTTTTCAGTGTGTAATTAAAAAGTTTTAATATAGTTATAACGTTGTACAATCATCATCTCTAATCAATTCCAGAACATTTTCGTCACCCCATAAAGAAACTTCATACTTAATTAACAGTCATCTAGGAAACTCTTCTTGAAAGCTATCTTTTGGATAAGGCTTAAAGAAAGAGACCAATACATATTTAAAAACACTGTTTGTAGGACAGGAAAAAAAAGTGGGCTAGGATATAAATAAAGCACACATTTCTAGAAAAGCTTCTTGACTTCTTAAGTTCCTTTACAAACAACCTATTTATTAATCCTTTCCAGAGTTTTCTTAATAATTAAATGGAAACCACAATGTTCCACATCAGAGCACCAGCAATTGGCTATATGGCACTTTCATAAAGTACCTTCAAATTCCTCTACATTAATGCCATCTTTTAAAGACTATGAAATTAGTATGCTGATTTTAATAGATGGACCCAGGAATGAAAAAAAATTTTTTAAATATCTTTTTTGTTGTTTATTTTTTTCTTTATAGATGGACACAATATCTTTATTTTGTTTATTTATTTTTATGTGGTGTTGAAGATTGAACCTAGTGCTTCACATGTATGAGGCAAGAGCTCTGTCACTGAGCTATAATAATCCTAGCCCAAGAGTAAAATTTCTGATGTATGGAGGAACATTAATATTTTGTGGTAGATCATAAAATAAAACAAAAATAATTAGTAAGATCTGAGTCTGTCCTCTGACACTGTCCATTTTGTATCTAAGACAGTTAAAATCATTAGTTATAGTGATACACATTAAGGTGGGGACTAAAAATTATGTTCAATGTCCTAATTTGGGCATTTGAATTAACTTGTTGGCAGTTATATGAAAAATTAAGAATGGTACAACATACCTCCTCCATCAGCCTCTTTGATATCATCTTCTATAGCTTCATCAATTGCTTCATCAAACTCATCAAATCTAAAACATAAAATGATCACATTACAGCCTGTCCTGGTGTTTTAAACTCTTAAAGATCATCTATACTAAATAATTAACTGTTTGTATCCCCACAAGCAGTAAAATCCTACCTACCAAGGTGATAGTATTAGGAAGTGAGGCCCTCATGAACAGGATTAATGTCCTCATAAAACAGGGCAGAAAGACCCATCGCCCTTTCCACCACGTGAAGCCACAGTGAGAAGACAGCCATTTAAGAGGAAGCAGGTGTTCACCAGACATGCCAGACCTTCTCTAGAGTCTCCTTGCCTTTTCTACCAGGTGAACACACAGCTAACAGGTACTATTTATAAACCCGAAAGTAGGCCCTCACCAGACTCAAAAATCTGCCAGTGCCTTGATCCTGAGCTTTCTATCTTCCAGAACTGTGAGATATAAATTTCTGTTGTTTACAAGCAGTTCAGGTATTTTGTATATTCCAGCACAATTGAACTATAACAGTATCAGAAAACAAAGAACTTTTTTTGCAATGCTGGGTAGATTAAACCCAAGGCCTCACATTGAAGCAAATGTACCTCCACTGCACTAGATCCACAACCTATTAAAAAATATATATAAAAGGACCAGATGGTATGTACACATTTTAGGGTTTTTTAGAGTATATGGTTTTTATAACCATCAACTCTGTCAGTGTAACACAGAAGCAATTACAGACAGTATGTTACATAAATAAATATGGATGTGCTCCAATTAAATTTTATATATACTGGTTTTTATATGTATATAATATTTTTTTTTAAAGAGAGAGTGAGAGAGGAGAGAGAGAGAGAGAAAGAGAGAGAGAGAGAATTTTTAATATTTATTTTTTAGTTCTCGGCTGACACAACATCTTTGTTGGTATGTGGTGCTGAGGCTTGAACCCGGGCCGCACGCATGCCAGGTGAGCGCGGTACCGCTTGAGCCACATCCCTAGCCCATATGTATATAATATTTATGGATGTTTTTTGTTCTTTTTTTCAACCATTTACAAATATAAACATGACTTATAGGTCATAGGCTTACAAAAATCTAGCAGCAAGCTGGATTTGACTTATAAGCCCACCCCCAGTAAAACAAATCATGTTAAGTAAACTGAACAAACTGTTTCACAAAAAATGTTAAATAGGCTTAATTATTATTATTATTGAAAAGTAGATCATTATTATTGTTATTACTTAAGTTCCCATACAGCTGATTAAAATTGTAGAACTAACTTAATGTACTTGTTCTAGAAGGGTTGTCCTCCGGTTTAAAGGAAAGGACCAAGGCTAAATGTTCCCTGGATTTCCTCCTTTCATTTTAGGGATCAGGTAACCAACAAGATGAAGTGACTTGTCCAAAACCATGATAAATATAGTAATTACTGGCTAGCCACATGAAGCTATTTCAGTTAATTAAATTTTAAAATTCCGTTCCTCATTAAGCTTATTTTAAGTACTCAACCATTACATATGGCTTACTGCTTGCCATACTGGACATGAAGGAAATATAACATTTCTACCATCACAGTAAATTGCAACAATAAGTTCTATTGGAGAGGGTAAGGATTAAAGAAAGGCACCTAGTAGATTAATAGCAATATCAAGACTAAAAGCTAAATATTTTGCCTCTGAGTTGCAAATACATACACACAAAAATACCCAAATTTATTTCAAAGGATTCACAAGTTTCAAGTTAGCTTCTACAACAATATAATTTTTAATGTCTGTGTATTGTCTAATCATATAAATACATAATAATTATAGTTAAAAACAGTTTATTTCCAATTTTCTTTCAGTTAGCATGCTCTGAAAAATATTACTGTAGCTATAGCTTGGTTTTTCCTTAAAATAAATTCTGAGAACTGGGAACAATGTTACACGCCTATAATCCTGGCAACTCAGGAGGCTGAGGCAGGAAGATCCTAAGTTCCAGGTCATCTTTGGCAATTTACTGAGACCCTGTCTTAAAATAGAAAATTAAAAACATCTGGGGATTTAGCTCAATGGAAAAGTGCCCTGGATACAATCACAGTACAAAAAAAAGACAAATTTTAAGAAAGAAAAAAAATCTACATATCCATCTATTGAGCTAATTAACAGATACAGATAAAGCTAGATGCAAAGTTAACCAAAATTAGTATTTGTCAAGGATATACAGAGGTTATAAAGTGGCATGACAATCTACTTTAAGTAACGTCTGCTTTCTTACTGAGAAACTGTTTTCTAATGCCATCAGAAACTTCAGACATTTGAGATGATACTACTAAGAATGAAATATCTAATTCTTATCTGAGGATCTAAGTCATTTTTAAAATTAATAAGCAGTCTTGCTCTACAACCTAGATGCAGGGTTTCAGATAATGGGTTTCTATGTATCTGCCTAAACTTCACTGATTCCAAGGCAACAGGATTCATGTAATCCATGTCTGAAACTGACCCCCTTTAGTATCTTCCTTTACTCTATAATTACTTCGTTTAAATTTCATCTAACCACCACCCTTCTTCAGAAGCCTATAACTATCTTTTCCCCTGTATGGTTAGAGACCCCTATGATGCCATTATGAAATTTTGTTGGACCGTACATTTCTTCCTGGTATTCTAAGATAATGTAATTGGTGTTAATGGCACACAAATTGTTTTAATAACAACCTTGAAGAGAATTTAAGTTATTTTCCTGTTCTAATTATTATTTTTTAAAATATGGAACACTTCATGAATTTGCATGTCATGTCCTCCTTGTACAAGAGCCATGGTGATCTTCTCTGTATCATTTCAATTTTAGTTTATATGCTGCCAAAGCAAGCACTTCCTATTCTAATTTTAATTTGACTACTGTATGAGCAAATATTTTTTCATGTTTATTGGTCATGTTGCAGAGTACTCATTTGGGTTCTTTGCCTGCCTAAAACCCCTACCCCAGTACTAGGGATGAAGCAGTCAGGATTTATTTACTACAGAGCTACATTCCTGGCCCTGCAATATTAAAGACCATATTTTTAAAAATTCTGAAATATGGTCTCACTAAGTTGCAAAAGCTGGTCTAAAAATTTCAATCCTCCTGTCTCAGTCTCCAAAGCCACTGGGATTATAGACATGCACTGCCACATACTGCTATTCCTTTGCCCATTCTGAATGCTAGTTTGTTCATCTTTTCTTACTGATTTGTAAAATTTTTGTGTATTAAAATTGTACCTCCTTTGGAACATGTTGTAATTTCCTTTTTTTGCAGTGCTGCGGATTGAATCCAGGGCCTTGCACATGCTAGGCAGTACTCTACCACTGAGCTACATTCCTGGCCCTGCAATTACTTCTATCAAACTGTACTTCCTTTTCAGTGTTTGCGCATATATATACATATATATTTAAAGTTTTTGGTTTGTTTAGTTGTAGTTGGACACAATACCTTTATTTTGTTTACTTATTTTTGGTGGTGCTGAGGACTGAACCCAGCGCCTTACACATGCTAGGCGAGCACTCTACTGCTGAGCCACAACCTCATCCACTATTTTTTTTTTTTTAAGTTTTGAGAAAGGAAAACTGACATCACATCTCTACTATATTCCTTGCATTTTGTTAAATTCATAAACCACTCCTTTTAAAGTCTAACTCCATGTTTGTCTGTATGTGCAATTGTCTGAGATTGTCTTATTTTAAAAACATTTATGTAACCAAATATCCTTTCCATTATTGTTTGTGCTTTTTATGGTATAATTTCAAAGCTGTTTTTACACTAGGGTGTAAGTAAGCCTTTTTAAAATTATTTTTAATAACTAGGTAGGGTATGAAAAATGCATCATGTAGTACATTCTATGCTAAAACACATAGTTTACCATAAGGTCCTATATTGCCATTACATAACTTTAGAGCCGAAATGAACCAAGATAAGGCAACAAAGACCAAAGAGCAATGGAACACTTAAAGATATATGGTCATTAAGTGCCAGAGTGAGGACTCTACTTTTAGTCTTCTGATCCTCAATTCAATGCTTCCTCTGGGTATTTTGATATGTCATACTCTTTGTTAGAAGCAATAAGAATCAGATAAACAATTATTAAATTATAGTAAGCAGTGATGTAATTCTAATAAAACAAATCTCTGCTTGATGTCCCAAAACACTGTTTGGTATTTCAGAGGCCACAATGGTAGTGAGGCATAATGATGCATGCTTTTAATCCCAGCAACTCAGGAGGCTGAGGCAGGAGGACTGAAAGTTCAAAGCCAGCCTCAGCAACTATACAACTTAGCAAGTCCTTGTCTCATAATAAAAAATAAAAGGGCTGAGAATATGGCTCAGTGGTTAAGTGCCCATGGGTTCAGTCTCTGATACCAAAAAAGGTGAGAAGAGAAAGAAAGGTATATAGCAACTTAAATATAATTTATCTATTATTTGGGTGAGGCAATGTGATTTAGTGGAAAGAATATTAGAGAGCAAACAATCAAAAGATAGGGTTCAGGGCTGGGGTTATGGCTCAATGGTAGAGCACTTGCCTAGTATGTATGAGGCCCTGAGTTCGATTCTCAGTACTACATATAAATAAATAAAATAAATGCATTGTGTCCATCTACAACTATCTCTCTATATCTAGCTATCTAGCTATATATTTATATATCTATATGTTTTTTAATATATATATTTTAAAGATACAGAAAAACAATGGAAAACCCTTTCTGGTATCTTTGGTAGCAAAAGATAAACCAGATTATATTATTTTTCTTTCCTTCTCTTTTTTGTTGTTTTGCTTCTGTTTTATTAGCAGGGATTAAACCCAGGGGTACTCAACCACTGAGCTATATCCTCATCCTTCTTTTTTTTTAAATTTTGAGACAAGGCTTCACTAAGTTGCTGAGGCTGGCGTTGAATTTGCAATCCTCCTTCGTCAGCCACCCAAGTAGTTGAAGTTACAGGTGAGTGCCTCTGCACCTGGTTATATTAATAATAATAATATTAACTGTGTATTTATAACACTATGTGTAGGAGACATGAGAATGTGTAAAATAGAAAAGGATGCAAACAGTGTAATGAGGGAGAGAAAATTTTTAAATAATTTTAATCACACAAAATACAATTACAAATGTTTTCAAATAAAAAACTGGTTGCTACAAGGGGGAGATTTGTTTTAAAAAAAGGTTAATAAGGTAAAAATGGAGGGAAATAAGAGGCAGAATAAACAACGTGCAAAAAGGGACTAGATGAATGCACAAGAGGTTAAGGAAAATGTTGATGGGATGGAGGACGAATGAAAGTTGAGATAAAACTATGCCAAGACTTCTAGATCTAAAGCTTTAATCTTTATCCCAAGAGCTATAAATATCCAATAAAGCATGTTAGGGAGAAGAGGAAGACATGAGTATATTTATGTCTGAAAAATATCACACTATATACTACAAAATACTGTGACTCTAAAGATGGGAGGTACTGGTACCAAAACAGGCGAGTGGACCAATGGTACAGAATAGAGGACACAGAAACCAATCCACAAAATTACAACTATCTAATATTAGATAAAGGGGCTAAAAGCATGCAATGGAGGAAGAATAGCATCTTCAACAAATGGTGCTGGGAAAACTGGAAATCTATATGCAACAAAATCAAAATGAATCCCTTTCTCTCACCATGCACAAAAGTTAACTCAAAGTGGATCAAGGAGCTTGATATCAAATCAGAGACTCTG